ACTTTCCTTAATGCAAAGAGAAAAAACACAATTCTGCTCTTGTGATGTTGGATGACTGACATAAAAAACACAGCTCCTGAGATTCGTTTCATCAGTCACCCACCCCTTATCCCGACACATGCCTCAATGCTCAAAAGCCCAGCCAACACTAAATGTCCACAGAGAATGTCCAACCCTGTGTCTCTAGCTGTCACCTCTGCTGGGCGACGTCCCAAGGCTCAGGAACCCCAGGCATCTACCTGGGCCTCTGAAGAGAAGCCAGCCCTGGATGCCCATCACCACCTCCCGGGCCCTCCCGGGCCTTCCTGAGCTGTTACCTGAATGAATGAGGGGTGGCAGCGGACGTTCTGTTCACCCAGCCTCAACGTGATCACGGGACACTTCATTATGTAGCGATCACTCTGCTTCAACCTTCTTGCCCCTTTTTGAAACATTCTGATTTCCAACCTGTAATTTGCTTTCTGGAAGTCAGGCAAAATTCACACGCGCAACCGAAAGAAGAAAATGCAGTTAATAGGCCACAATTACGGGTCGGCCTCTGTTCACAGTAGGCATGATTAACGCAGGCCTCCTGGAAGCTAAGAGCTGAGAAGCAAGGGACTGGGGAACTTGGCCGACTCTGGCCTGTGGCAGTTCAGCCCCCAGAGGGGAAGCCCCTAGGGAGGTCCCTGGGCCAGGGAACTGCTGTATCTTTCAGGAAGGTCACTCTTAGAGAGGAAGCATGGCAGTTTGCATCCTCTCATTCCTGACAGCAGACAAGTATCTGCCCACAGCCTGTTTCCTTCGACCCCAGTAAGAAATCCCTTGGCCCCATTTTACAGCCAAGGCAGTTGAAGCTCCACAGATGTGAACAACTAAGGAAACAACAGCATGTGGCCATCTCGGCAACAGAGCTTCAAAAGTCAGGCCAAGGGTCCCACAGGTACCTAGACCGTCTTCCTTCATCCCTGCCAGAAGCCCGAATGGGAGCCCTGGAGTGGGGGGTAAAACAAGGTATGTGGGGGTCAGGGGGAGGGGCATCAGGGAGGGTAGTGATGACAGAGAGAGGAGCGTGGGGCTGCTGGAGAGAAGGTGATAAGCCAGGCGTGAGGATACACACCTGTAATCCCAGCACTCAGGAGGCTGAGGCAGGAGGATCCAAGGACTGCTTGGACTACAGAGTGAGTTCAATGCCAGCCTGTGCAGGGAGACCCTGCCTCAAAATAAAAGGTTGTTTTTCTTTTGAGGCGGGAAGGGCTGGAGGTGGTGGTGCACACCTTTAGTCCCAGCACTTGGGAGGCAGAGGCAGGCAGCTCTCTGTGAGTTCGAGGCCAGCCTGGTCTACATAGCTAATATGTTCCAGGCTAGGGTTTATAATGGGACCCTGTCTCAAAGCAACGACAAAAAAAAAAAAAGCTAGAAATGTAACTCGGTGGATGTGCACTCACCTGGCATCCGATCATACATGAGGCCCTGAGTTCTGACCCCAGCCCTGAAAATAAATAGTTTCTCAAACCCACCTCTTTCTGCACAAAGCAGCCAGAGTACAGCGCTCGGAAGATAAAGCCGCCCTCTTGAGCAGGATGCAAGAGGAAACCACATTTGGTAAGAAGAGAATCCAGGTGGCTGGGGGCCCTCTTGGTGCCTGTGACAGAAACACACAGGACCCTGGGAGAACAGCAGAGGTGAGGTCAGGAGTATCTGACACCCAGACATAAGCCCGTGGCTGCTCTGCTCTGGAGCACCAGAGAACAGCAGAGACAGAAGTCTTGGAAGGAAGCCTGTTGGTTCTGCCAGACAGACATGCAGACTCCCCTCCCACCCACCTCCCAGCTCTGAGCGCAGCCTGGGTTGTAGAAGCTGTCTCTCGCTCCTCTCTTCCACTGTGGTCTGTTTCCCCCAGCAACACACTGAGTTCCACGCAAGCCTGCAGCAGATCGCTCCACTCTCCATTGAGAGACCCATGTGAGGGTCATCTAGGCTTTCAGTGTTCTCCCTCTGCCTTAGCCACACTAGCCTCCCTGTTACTTCTAACACATCGTGGGTGCCCTCGGGGCTTTTCTATTGGCTGCATCTTGTGCCTGGAACACTCTTCCAGATACCTGTGTGGCTCAGTCCGCCACACTCAAGCCTTTAAGTGGATCCCCCTTGTCAACGAGGCCTCTGCCAGAAGAGCCTCCGTCACCCCCTCTTAACCTCGCCCCTCCCTCAGACCCCCTTTCTGCATCACACATCACCACCTCGCCTGCTGAAAAATGTCTATGGCTACAGAAATGGTCTTGTTGCCCTCCACTCAAATGCCAGCCCCACGGCGCCAAGAGTATTTATCTGTTTTGTTCTCTGCCGTATCCCCAGCGCCTTAAGCTGCATCTGGCGCATAGAGGGCTCTCAGTAAACATTTATTGGATGAGTAAAACACAAAGAGGAATATCACTGAGCAGAGGGATTACAGGCAGTCTTCATTATCGTCTTTAGATTTCTTCTGTTTCCGTAATTATCTTGTGTTGCTTTTGAGGTGATGTTTTTTAAGTCCTCCACCCTCCCGCCCCAAAGCCCACACTTTCATTCTCAGATAGTTGATGGGAGATGAGTACGCCCTTGCAGGAGACAGCTCCAGCAGCCTGGATGTGGGGGACTCTCTGGTGACATGCTTTCCTTTTAAGAGCGTGCAGCCTTCATGACTATCTTTAGCAGGAGATCAAGGCCGAGCCTGTGGCTCTGAAAGGCAGATCACTGGGGAAATAAAGTGTCTAAGGCTGGATGTGCAAATTGACCTGGATCGTTTTAGTTTCCCATTCACGTCTGCACTTTGTAAATATTTGCCTGCATCCTGCTGCTCACACCTGCTTGCTGTCCCTTCAACTTTATGGAAGGCAGCAGGCAGCATCGTTTCTGCATCCCCACCTGGCGCTGGTGAGGAAAAGAAACGCTCTTCCTCCAAAGCCACAGGTGTCTCTGACAGCGCCTAAAACTAATGGCCTGTGGCTGGCTGCTGTGACTAATTCCCTGATTATTGACTTTATGATTTTACACTTAAAACTTCTTTATAATAACACACAGAAATGTTTAATGGGCTCTATCCAGAGCCATAAAAATTACTTATTGAACAAGCGTTTTAAAACTATTAATCTATTGTTTTCCATTAATAATGGCTTTCCAAAGAACAGGCGACAGCTTAATGTATCCTCCACGTTTTCCCCTGGAAAAGTGGCCTTTTAATACACAAACGCCGCTCCAGTTCCAGAGGCATCACCGGCTGACTGACCATCCCAGGGCCAGTTCAGGATTCAGGACACACCAGGCCCAGACAGCACTTTAGAATTTCCAGACTAAGCCAGGAGTGGTGGCTCACACCTGTAATTCCAACACCAGGAAGACTGAGGCCAGTCCGGACTGCGTAGAGAGTTCTAGGGCAGCCTGGACCACAGCGTGTGATCCTGACTTAAAAAACAAAGGAAGAAAGAAAACAGCATTCTGAGATGGGAAGAAGGCTTCCCTCCTCAATTTCTTCATTTTTGTACAAAAGAAAGGAAAAATTGGGGTGTCTTACTTGCGACCTTACTCTGTGACCAAAGGTATAGCAGGAGGTGAGCTGCAGGCACATTCGCTCTATTTGGCTCCTTCTGGAAGTTTCCAGAAGGTCTTCCCACTTTGCAGTTTTTGCTCAAAGTTTTCTGAAGGTGATAATGTGCCCTTCGTTTGGCTTGTTTTAGGCATGAGATCCCCCCACCAAGCATGAGGTAGTGGTTCCAGTGGGTAAAACTCACGGGCCAGGGACTGGAGAGATGACTCACGGGCTGCTGCTCTTCCGGAGGACCTGAGTGGGCTCCCAGCACTCACATGGTGGCTCACAGCCGTTTGTAGTCTCAGTTATAGGAGATCGACACCGTCTTCTGGGCCCCACTAGCAATGCATGTGTGTGGTGCACAGACTTGCAGACAGGCGAAACACCCATTCGATAAAGGTTTGGAAAGAATTGTGGACCAGCGAGATGGTTCAGTGGGTAAAGGCGCTTGCCACCAAGCCTGAGGACCCGAGTTCACTCTGGGATCCACGTGGTTGAAGGAGAGACCCAAGTGCTGCAAGTCATGCTCTGACCTCCACATGCACACTGTGGCACGTGTTTATAAACACGGTATTTTAGCGTGCATGCACACACAGACACACAACTAATAAGCAGAATTTTTAAAGAATCCATTTTTTTTTAATTGTCCCATTAGCTTCACAGAGGGATTTAAGTTTAGGGGCATACTAGCACCTGATGGGCACTTCAATCCAGGTTGGGGCCTTTTGCCCACTGAGCAAATATCTATTAGGGGTCTCCTAAGCATGAGACAGAGTCCTTAATCCTGGAGGCACCTCAGCTGTCAACATGGAGCACAGGGCTGTGCCTGCTCCCAGCGACCTGCTGGTGGCATTGATGACGAGCATGTGAACAAGGTCTTTTTAAGTAGGACCACAAACTGAGAGGAAATGGGATGAGCAAGGGCTGTCTTGGAGAAGGCCAGGGCAGCCCTGGGAAGGAAGGAGCATGAAGCCCAGAGAGAAGCTTTCCAGGGAACGCAGTACCCATGCCCTGGTGTGAGGAATGCATTGGGAACCCTTAACAAAGGCTCCAGGCAGTCAATGGCTGAGGACTGGAGAACCTGGGGCCTGAGAAGATAGCTTACCTGGCAGGTGCAGGACCCTGGCCAGCCACTGCCTCAAACCCTGCACATGGCTCCTCGGGATCTGCAGGGTCATGTAGTCGGAGAAGCACTCGACCTTCCCTGTGGGATAAGAAGTCACTTCTGAGGCAGTGGAGAGGACCCAAGGGAGAGACAGCAAAGGAGGAAGGATGGACAGACTTCCAGCACCGCTGCGGTGACCAGCCGGGAGAGGAGTCACCTCTGCATCTAGCCAGTGTCTTATGGGGAGACAGGAAACAATGTGATTTACTGGTGAGTGTAGGCACCCGAGTCAGAACATCTGGGCCTAAATGCCCACCGTGCGTGCGTGCGTGCGTGCGTGCGTGCGTGCGTGCGTGCGTGAGTGAGTGCGTGCGTGCGTGCGTGCGTGCGTGAGTCCATGCGTGTGTGCGTCTGTACACGTGCCTGTTGCTCAGTCTGTGTCTTCCCAGAATTGATTGTATCAGTGATGGGAATGATAAGGATATGGATAATGATGACGGAAGGTGACAGTCATGGTTGTGATGATGGCGCCGGTGGTGACTCTGACCGATATTCTTTCTCTTCCAGAGTCTGGTAGCCGTCTTCATTCTTCCGCCAGGCTGAACTGTAACTGAGGTCTGACAGTCCCTCAAGTGAGCACGGAAACCCTGTTCTTATGCCACAGTCCCATCCCCTCTCTCAAAGATGAGCTGAGTAAGAGAAAACATAGGGGCTGAGGACGGCGAGAGCTCCTGCTGAGTAAGCATGAGGGCCTGAGTTCGAGTCCCCAGTACCCACGAAAGCAGCCACGGGTGACCACATATACACTGCCCACCGCAGTGCCGACGGATATGGAGACAGGAGGATCACCAACTTAGTTCCAGGGTCAGTGAAAGAGCCTGTCTCAAAGGAACAGGGGCGGAGAGGGACAGAGCAGGTCCACTGACACCCTCCTCTGGCCTCGGTGTACGTGAAGGGGCACACACACCCAGACACATGCATCTATCATACACATACACACAAAACACAAAATAAATGAATTTGTAAAAGGTGAGGGCTGGACCGGGCGTGGTGGTGCAGCAGCTCAGGAGGCAGAGGCAGGCAGATCTCTGTGAGTTCGAGGCCAGCCTGGTCTACAAGAGTGAGTTCCAGGATAGGCTCTGAAGCTACACAGAGAAACCCTGTCTTGAAAAAAAAAAAGAAAGAGGGCTGGAGAGATGGCTCAGAGGTTAAGAGCACTGGCTGTTCTCCCAGAGGTCCTGAGTTCAATTCCCAGCAACCACATGGTGGCTCACAACCATCTGTAATGAGATCTGGCGCCCTCTTCTGGCCTATAGGCATATGTGCAGGCAGAACACTGTATACGTAATAAATAAATCTTTAAAAAAGAAAGAAAGAAAGAAAGAAACAAACAAACAAAACAAAAAGTCAGTGGACACCAAGACTCCCAGACTCCATGCCGGGTCTGGTACATGAGCCTGTGCCGGCTATTTCCAAACAAGTGCTTCCTCGAGGAGAGGGAGCCCTGACTCTGGCTCCAGCCATCCCTGGGAACCCAGGCACTTGGCTAGTGCTAGCTGAGAGAGGGGTCTGCCTTCCCAGGCTAGTGCTGGCTGTGAATGGTTTCTGCTTCCATGTAACCGCAGCAGGAAGGTTATCGGCCTGAGAAGAGGGGACCGCCCAAGGCCTGTGTGAACCAGAAAAGCATGATTGATTTACCTGTCAGAGCTCCGTGTGCCGGGTGAGGCCTGTCCTTGTTTGACCCGAAGGGGAGGATCCATGGGAACACAGCGTGTTGAATACAAGCCAGACAGATGGCCCTGCAAGGCAGAGAGAAGGGTGTGGACTGGGTGCCCAGCCCAGCAGGGCTGCCTGCCTCGTCTGACTTCAGGCAGGCAGGCAATTAGATCTCATCTTAGGTTTGTTTTCTTTTACTTTTTGTTTTTAATGTTGTCTTGTGTTGTGTCTTAAGACAAGCTTTCACCATGTAGCCTAGGCTGCCTTAACCTCACTAGATAGCCCAGGCTGGCCTCCGACTTGTAGTCCTCCTGCCTTTGCCTACCAAGTGCCCTGGTTACAGGTGTGCCATATCTCAATTACAGTTCATTCAGTCGGTTATATTTATGTATATATGGATTTTATTATTTTTTATTTTTGCTCTGCTGGGGTCAAATCCGGGGCATCAGAATGCTAAGCAAGCGCTGTGCCGCTGAATTACACCCGCGCCCCAGAGATATATGGTTTGCATGCCTCTACCATGGGCAGCAGCCCGGACAAAGAAAGAAATGAAGAGGGGTCTCCCGTCGCAATCAAGCACGGAGAAGAGACAGGGTGGGGACACAGAGAACCTGCGGCCAGGAGGCTGAGGGAGGCTGTTTCCTGGAAGGTCAAGCTAAAGAGATAACTTCCAAAAAGGCAACATTGTGATTCCCATACAGATTGTTTTAAGTGAATCCATGGATTTTATTAAATCATTATTAATGAGAAAACCCTGCAGATTTACAGCCAGCTCAAAGGAGAGAGGAAAAAGAAAAGACAAAAGAACAGACATTTTTTTTTTCTAGATGCAGGATGTTGGAAAGAATTTGCAAACAGACTGGAAACTAGCATAGTCCACAGGGGAAGGCAGAAATTCTGAATGAAAAGCCCTCACACGGCCCAGGGTTGTCCGCAGCTTAAAGCATCACAAGGGGCTGGACAGATGGTAAGTATCTGCCAGGCAAGCATGAGGACCTGAGTTTGGATTCCTAGTGTCCATGTAAAAAGCCACCCATGGTGACGTGCACCTGGAATCCTAGCACTGACGAGCAGAGGCATGTGGTTCCCAGAGACTCCCTGGCCTGCTAGTCTGTCTGGATTGGTGAGCTCCAAGTTCAGTGAGAGATCCTGTCTTTTGGGGTTTGTTTGTTTTTCGAGACAGGGTTTCTCTGTATAACAGCCCTGGATGGCCTGGAACTCACTTTGTAGACCAGGCTGGCCTCGAGAACTCACAGAGATCTGCCTGCCTCTGCCTCCCAAGTGCTGGGATTAAAGGTGTATGCCAACACCACCCAGCCGAAATCCTGTCTTAAAAAAAAAAAAAATAAGGTAGTACAATAGAAATCACTGAATGCCTATATTCACAGTAGGCAAGTTAGGGAGATAGCCTCAACAGATGAATGGATAAAGAAAATGGTGTATTTGTAAACAATAGAATTATTCATTGTTTCTCAACCTAACAGATAAGAAAATTGTGTCGTTTGCAGGCACAGATAGATCAAATAAATCAGAGTCAAAAGACAAAAAAATAAGTAGCACCAGCGTGGTGGTCACATCTTTAATCCCAGAACTGGTAGTCAGAAGCAGGTGGATCTCTGTGAGTTCAAGGCCAGCCTGGTCTACAGAGTGAATTCCAGTCCAGGCAGAGCTACATAGTGAGACGCTGTCACAAAACATCAGCAACAATGACTCGGAATAAATAAATAAACAACAAAACAAAGGAAAGTGGAGAGCAGTGAAAGAGGAACTCAGTGTCTACCCCTAGCCTCCACACATACAAGTGCACACATGCACCCCCATATACACTCTTGTACATATGTGCCTCCTTTGACAAGGTAGATACACACAAACATGTGTACACACATGTAACCTATAAATAATAAAAAAGAAAAATAAGAAAGCATCACAAACTAAGGTAAAGAAGGTTGGAGTCAGAGAGAGAAAATGTCGGCACTAGCTAAGCAAGCCATTTCCGATGGACATAGCCAATAATTGTTAAACACCTTAGGGCTTGTGAGGTGGCTCATCAGGGAAAGGCACTTGCCACCAGGCCTGATAAGCAGAGTTGGATCCCCAGAACCCACATGGTGGAAGGAGAGAACCAACTCCACAGAATTGTTCTCTGATTCCACGTGTGCAGTAGCACATGGGTATGTGAGCATGTACATCAAGATAAATCTATGTTAAAAACAAAGAAATAACTCTTTTTGTTTATTTCAAAGTTTCTACATCAGATAAAACATCACTAAGCGGGACTGGAGAAATGGCTCAGCAGTTAAGGGCACTGGCTGCTCTTCCAGAGGTCCTGAGTTCAATTCCCAGCAACCACATGGCAGCTCACAATCATATATAGTGGGATATCTGATGCCCTCTTCTGGCATAAAGTCATATTGCAGAGAGAGAACTCATACATAGAATAATAGCTCAGTGGTAGAACGCTTGTCTAGCAAGCGCAAGACCCTGGGGTTTGGTTCTCAGCTCTGAAAAATATAAAATAAACTGAATATAAAAAAAAAAATCACTAGGGGGGCTGGAGAGATGGCTCAGAGGTTAAGAGCACTGGCTGCTCTTCCAGAGGTCCTGAGTTCAATTCCCAGCAACCACATGGTGGCTCACAAACATCTATAATGAGATCTGGTGCCCTCTTCTGACCTGCAGGCATACATGCAAGCAGAACACTGTATACATAATAAATAAATCAATCTTTAAAAAAAAATCACTAGGGATGGGCGGTGGTGGTGCACAACTTTAATCCCATTTAATCCCAGCACTTAGGAGGCAGAGGCAGCCAGATGTTTGTGAGTTCGAGGCCAGCCTGGTCTACAGAGTGAGTTCCAGGACAGCAAGGACTGTTTCATAGAGAAACCCTGTCTTGAAAAACAAAAACAAAAAAGCTGTGGCATTTGAGCCAAGATGAGATAGCAAAGAATTCCAAGCTTCAATCCAGGGAGGTGCATTCCAGTCAGAGAGAGCAGCAGGTGCAAAGCCATGGGGAATGAAGCTCACAACCATCTGTAACTCCACTTTCGGGGTACCTGACGCCCTCTTCTGTCCTCCATGGGCACTGCACACATGTGACGCACTTATATGCATGCAGGCAAACACATAAAAACACATAAAACATTTTACATCTAAAAATATTTTTTTAGGATTATAAAAATAAATAACTACAAATGCAGGTGTGGTGATTCACGCCTATAATCCCAGCACTCAAGAGGCTGGGGCAGGAGGATTCCTATAAGTTCCAGACCAGACTGGACTACAGACTAAGACCTTGTCTCAAAACCAAAAGCATGCCAGGCGGTGGCGCATGACTTTAGTCCCAGCACTCGGGAGGCAGAGGCAGGTCTATAGAGCAAATTCCAGGACAGGCTCCAAAGCTGCACAGAGAAACTCTGTCTCAAAACAGAAAACAAAATCAAATCTCAGCTTTTTGAATAAGATCAAGTGTGAAAAAATGCATGCATACCTACATGCCTAATGTGCATCCAGTGGCACACTGGGCCCGGCTCACATAGCAAGTGCCAGAACAAGTACCGGTGGGGTTACATAGCACAACTCCACCTCACCAAAAATAAACAAACAACAACAAAATGCAGGGGTGTGCCTAGGGCTGCAGTGCTTGCTTAGCATTCAAAGAGCCCAGGTTTTTAGCAGTCAAGAGTGTGTACCACCCTTGAAGAACACTTCAGTTCCTAGCACACACCACACACACTGGCTGCTTAACAACCATCTGCAGCTCCAGCTCTGGAGACTCTGAGGCCTTCTTTTGGCCTTCGTGGGGTCTTATACTCACATGCACATATCCCTACACAGACACAGACACAGACACAGACACACACACACAGACACACAGACACACACACACAGACACACACAGACACACACACACACACACACACACAGAATTTTTTAAAGATGAAATAGATGGACATAGTGGTGCTTGCCTTTATTCCTGGCACTTGGGAGGCAGAGGCAGGTAGATCTCTGTGAGTTCTGCAGTGCTGGGCATAGCTCTCAGGACTCTGTACATTCGAGATAAGCTCCATACCAACCCGAGCTACAGCCTCAGTCTCCAGAGCAAGTTTCAGGCCAGTCAGGGCTACATGGTGAGACCTGAGACCTGTCTCAAAATAGATAGATAGATAGATAGATAGATAGATAGATAGATAGATAGATAGATAGATAGATAGATAGATAGATAGATAGATAGATAGAGATAAGGGCTGGAGAGATGGCTCAGAGGTTAAGAGAACTGGCTGCTCTTCCAGAGGTCCTGAGTTCAATTCCCAGCAACCATATGGTGGCTCACAGCCAACTATAAGTGAGATCTGGTGCCCTCTTCTGGTGTGCAGGCATACATACAGGCAGAACACCATACATAGTAAATAAATCTCTTTTAAAAATCTTTTTTTAATTTATTTATTATGTATGCAGTATTCTATCTGTGTGTTTGCCTGCACACCAGAAGAGGGCACCAGATCTCATTATAGATGGCTGTAAGCCACCATGTAGTTGCTGGGAATTGAACTCAGGACCTCTGGGAGAGCAGTCAATGCTCTTAACCTCTGAGCCATGTCTCCAGTCCCATAAATAAATAAGTCTTTTTAAAAAATCCACTTTTGAAGGACTACATCAAGAACCTAAACTCTCCTGAAAGACAGCCTCCTTAAGTGTCATTTGGGAACTAGCCCTGGGGTCAATGCAGTACCTGGAAGAGCTGGCAGGAGCCAGGCCAGTGAAAAAGCTCCAGCTCTCAGAAGCTACGAAATGGGTTCAACCCACCACTTTCAGACGTCAATATTATCTAAGGCTGATCCCACAGCAGCTCTCGACCCAGCAATCTCATTCCTACAGCATCTCTGGCACAGTGCCCAAAGAGGCATGCACGAGGCTGTCCACAGAGCAAGGCTGTTCGCTCAGACTGGAAACCACCCAAATGCCCATCAGCACTGGGTGCACTGGGATCTGTTCACCCTGTGAGAGGCCAGAGCACAAGAAAAGGCAATACGCCGCCGCCGCAATGAATGTTCTGCTGAATGGAAGAAGTCAGATGTGCACGAGCATCTAGTCTGTGACTGTATTTATAGAAAGGTCAAAAATAGACATAGTCATTGCATTTGGGGATGCAGATAGTGGCTCCTCCAGGGAAGAAATCGGAAGTCACTGCGGCAGGGGGTGACTAGTCTTAAGCATGTTAGAATAACAAGTGTAAAGGAACAATTGACAAGCTCCTGAGTGGACCCAACAAGTTACTATGTCTCTTCAGCAAAAAACTGGATGTTCTCTAGAAGGTGCCTCTTTCATTATCTGTGAGCTATCAGTGGGAGCTACGGCACTCTGAGCACTGTGGAAATTGTTCTTAGCCAGAAAAATGTGAAGCAGGGTTGGGGCTACAGCTCCGTTGGTAGAATTCTTATCTGGCATGCATGGAACCCTGGGATGGATCCCCAGCACTCCAGAACACCAGGCTTGCTCGCCAGTACCTGTAACCCCAGCTCTTGGGGGGTGGAGGCAGGAGAATCTGAAGTTAAAAATCATTCTCCTCTACATGACAAGTTTAAGGCCAGCCTGGGCTACATGAGAAAATGTCTTTTTTTTTTTTTAAGTAAATTATACCCAGGTGGGGTGCAGTTGGTTGCTGATCTGTGGCTCTGGTCTAGTTTTGCCTCCATTTAGGGAGTTAATTTCCGCATTCTGGACTGCCTGCATTTGTATCTGCTCTGGGGACCTCTCTTTTGAACTGAAGACAACCTTTGATAAAAATCTCTGAAAAGTGCTCATATTTCAATTTAGTTTTTTCAGTGCTAGGTAATAGATCATAGTATCTTGCACATGTGAGACTGTCACATTGTTACTGCTTTACATTCCCAGCCAGAGACTTAATTCTTTTTTCAAGTAGAGGGTTTCAGATGTAGCTCATTGGTTCAGTGTGTGGCTACATGTTATGTATAAATCCCTGGGTTTGATCCCCAGTGGAAAATGTATGTGAATTCCTATTTGTATATTGTAGATATATACACATATGTATATGTGTATGTGTATGCAAATATTTAAACTTATTTTTAAAGATTTATTTATTTATTTATTTATTTATTTATTTATTTATTTATTTATTTATTTATTATGTATACCATGTTCTGTCTGCATGTATGTCTGGATGCCAGAAGAGAGCATCAGCTCTCATTATAGATGGTTGGGAGCCACCATGTGGTTGCTGGGAATTGAACTCAGGACCTCTGGAAGAGCTGCCCATGCTCTTAACCTCTGAGCCATCTCTCCAGGCCTAAAGTTATATTTTAAGTAATCAATCCAAGTGTGCCTGCATATAACTCTAATCTCAGCACTTCAGAGGCTATGGCCAGCAGAATCTGAGCTTTAGGCCTGTCAGGGCTACATGGAGAAATTCTGTCTCAAAAACAAAAACAAAGGGCAGGAGAGCTGCTCAGTGGTTAAGAGCGCTGGCCACCCCTGCAGAGTGCCCAGCCCCCCACATGGCGGTGGCTGTTCCAGGAAGTCTGTAGGCCTGTGAGCACTGCATGCATTTGGTGCCCTTACAGACATGCATGCAAAACACGCATACACATGAAAGCAAGTAAGTAAAGTATTTAAGACAAAAACGATAAGAAAGGACACTAGATTTCCATCAGAAGCCACTGTCGTTGAGGCCTCTGGTTCTTGAACGTCACATGAGTTGAGAGTCAAGGCTAGGGTGCCAATCAGATCGACTGCCAAGGCCCTCAGTCTTCCAGAATAGGTTAGCAAAGAATGTCTAGACTAGTGGTTCTCAACCTTCCTAATGCTACGACCCTTTAATACAGTTCCTCATGTTGTGGTGACCCCCAATCATAAAATTATTTTCCGTGCTATTTTTTTTCTGGTGCTATTTCATAACTGTAATTCGATACTGTTACAAATTGTATCTGTATTTTTTTAAAGATTTATTTATTTATTATGTATACAGCATGTATGACTGCAGGCCAGAAGAGGGCATCAGATCTCATTACAGATGGTTGTGAGCCACCATATGGTTGCTGGGAACTGAACTTTGAACTCAGGACCTGTGGAAGAACAGTCAGTGCTCTTAACCTCTGAGCCATCTCTCCAGCCCTGTATCTGTATTTTCTTATGGACTTAGGTGACCCCTGTGAAAGGGTCATTTCACCCAAGGGGGTCATGACCCACAGATTGAGAACTGCTGGTGTAGACAATTTCCCTAGCCTGTAATCTGAGCCGGGCCTGCAGCCTGCCAGATTCAACTGCCTACTCTTCACCTACCCACTGCACTCAAAACCCAGGGTAAAGCCAGGCATGGCGGCACAGCCCTGCAATGCCAACACTCTGGAAACAGAGGCCAGAACACCTGGAGCTTAAGGCCAAGCCTGAGCTATGCACCAAGAACCTATCTCAAACTAAAAGCGAGCCAGAGAGGTAGCCCCCTCTCCAGACACAACCTGGTACTATCATCCCTGCCCCAGGTTCTGCTGCCTCTGCTGGAGTCTCCTCCTGGCTCCCAGCAGGGGGCAGCACTATCGCCATTTGATTAGTTTGCAAAGCAGAAGCGAATCCTGAGATGTAGCCAAAGCAAGAATCCCCCAAGAGCAGGTGAATCTGTTGCTAAAGGCCAGGAGACCTGGGAAAGGAGAAACAAGCTATGTGGCCGATGTCTGTGCCATCCTCTCCTCACCAGTGCTGATACACAGGAAAGTGCATTACATCAGCCTTGGTAGAGCAGGGGGCAGCCCACACTCCCTCAATCTCCTCCTCCAGCTCCCCCTAGAAGCGAGATTCCAGCTTGGCTTTTACAGCTCCTGAACTTTCCTTCCCAGCCTAGGGATAGACACGACCCTTCACGTCCCAAAGCTGAGCCCCACACTGAGCAGCTGTGAGAAGTGGGTGGTTCCTGGCACAGGCCCCGGGCCTCCTCCAGCTTGCCCACCCCACCCAGCTTCTCCATGGCCCTCATTGTCCGCAGATCTACAAATGTCACAAAGCACACAAAGCCCTGCAGTGAGGAGCCCGGGGCCGACTGCCAGCTACTGTTGACCTTCAAGCTGGCGGCAGAGACCTCCCTCCTGCTCTGAGTGGGTTTATTCTGTTCTTCAGTGGTACTAGAGACTGAGTCCTGGGCTTGCGCGTGCGACACTAGTACTCCCCGGGACAAGGGATGGTGTGGAGCCTGGGGAAGGTGACAGTGACTTTGGCCAGACCTCCCTTGAGAAGACTGAATTCTGCAATGCCTCCTTTTCATCCCTGTCCCCCTGCAGCCGCAGACGTAACCAAGCCTCACCCACCCACCTCTTCCTCCTCAGACATGAAGCTTCTGGATTCTGAAAGAAAACACTTGGTTTCTGCTCCAACGGGCACAAAGGAAGCTCAGGGGTCCCCTGGTCTCTCAGTTCCCATGAGGACCAGACACGACCCTCTTGGGAGGCCTGGGTAAGACTACTTACCAGACAACTGCCACGGACCCCCACATCCTCAGCCTGGTGGCTCTCTCTCCCCTGGAGGAGTTTATCTAACGGTATTCCCAGCTCATAAGTAAAAGGCCAGCCTGTCTTCTTCCCTTGGTTGCCAAGGGTCACTCAAGTACCAGCCAGGTGCCAGAATGCACAGATAGGTGTCAACATCTCCCAACTGCTTTGTGTCCCCCCGGGTGGCATTAACTGCTCTATTTCTGAGACCTCAGAATATTGGAGTGCTGTTCTTTGTTGCTGTAGAAAACATCATGACCAAAAGCAACTCAGGAGGAAAAGAGTTTATTATGTCTTCCACTTAGAGTCCATCACTGAAGGAACACAGAGCAGGAATCTGCAGGAACCTGGAGGCAGGAACTGACGCAGAGGCTCTGGAGGAGTGCTGCTTCCTGGCTTGATCTCCATGACATGCTTAGCTTGCTTTCCTAAACAACCAAGGACCACCAGTCCAGGGGTACCACCATCCACAGTGGGCTGGGCCTTCCCACACTGATCATCAATCAATCAAAAAGAAAAACAATGCCCCCATAGACTCAGCCACAAGCCGATCTGATGGAGGCAGTTCCTCAGCTGAGGTTCCCGCTTCCCAGATGGCTCTAGTTTGTGACAAGAACTAACTAACACATATGCTGAAGTGTGTAGCTGAGCAGTAGAGGGCTTACCTGCCACATGGAAGCCTTTGGGTCCCAAGAAAAAGAAGAGAAGGAGGAGAAAGAAAAGAAGAGAAAGAGAAAGGGGGAGAAACAGGAGGAGTGAGGGGGACTGGGAGGAGGAAAGTGGAGTCAACAAGAACTGTTTGGAGAGGGAGTCTTTTTTCTTTTCTTTTCTTTTTTTTTTTCCCCCGAGACAGGGTTTCTCTGAGTAGCCCTGGCTGCCTGGAACTTCATACATGTGCTCCAGCAAGTGCTGAGCTGGAGCCCCGTGCCTTCTGTCTGTGTACTGAGAAGGGTCTTAGTAACTTGAGGGAGGCCCTGAACTCACTCTGCAGTCCTGCTGGCCTTCAGCTCTTCAGCTTTCAATCTTCCCGCCTTAGCCTCCCGAACGGCTGGGGGCCTGTACCCCTGAGCCCGGCTGCATTTATCATTCTTTAATTAGACTAGAAGGAAATTATGCCAGTTATCTCAGAATTGGGGATTTGGGGAAAACTTTTTCTTAAAACTAGAGCTCTGTTCACTTACATTTTAACAACACACACACACACACACACACACACACACACACACACACACACACACACACACGGTTTGTGTAGGTCAGAGACAACTTGCAGGATTCAGTTCTCTCCACCGTGTGTGTGTGTGTGTGTGTGTGTGTGTGTGTGTGTGTGTGTGTGTGTGTCCTAGGGACCTGAGTCATCAGGGCTGGTGGTGTGCACCTTTAGACACTGAGCCACTTTACTGGACCTCTCCCATTTTGTTATTTTGTCTTTTTTTTTTTTTTTTTTCAGAGCTGAGGACCGAACCCAGGGCCTTGCACTTGCTAGGCAAGCGTTCTACCACTGAGCTAAATCCCCAAACCCTCCACCATTTTGTTATGAAATTTTTCAAAACACACAGGAAACTGAGCAGGGTCCAAGGAAAACTCTTGGACCTATCTTCTAGAATCTCCTTCCTTTGTTGGGGTTTAGCTTCCTCCGTGGAGACCATGTCCTTAACTCAACTCCTTGACAACTTTAATCCCACGCTGCCCTGGGTAATCCTGAGCCACCTGAGAAGACATGGCTGGAACCTGGACCTCAGTGTGAGTCCTGAAACCGTGTCATCCACGGGCCCTGCTCACACACAGGTGGGACGCGCTCATCACACCAAACAGAAGCCCCAGGATGGAGACACACAGCTGGCTAAACCTTCACAGACCCTTGTGAAGCACCCACTTCAGACAACCCCACACAGGAATGCCAAGGCCAGGCCAAACATCCTGGGTACACAACTCCCTCACCTGCGAGAGACCCTGTGAGGACCGTCGAGGCTCTTGTTTAAGCTTTAGAAAGAGAAGGTGCAGCTGGCAAGATGACTCAGTGTGTAAAGACACTTGAAAGCTTGAGGTCAGTCCCCGGGACCTGGATGGAGGAAGGAGAGATCAGTTCTTACAAGCTACCTCTGGCCTCTGCAAAGGTACCACGATGCATGCCCTCCCTATATACACATACTCAGACAAGTAAATAAATAAATAGAATTTTTTTAAATATTAAATAAAATAAAGGAATTAGAAAGCAAATTATCTTCCCTTTCAACAACATAAACCTCATTGCACACACACACACACCTCTATAGAAATAGTCACATGCCTTAGCATGCATCTTTACACACATCTACACACACACACACACACACACACACTTCTAGAATATTCTTAGAGAAGGCAGTCTCACTGGGGTCTTCATAAATAAGCTCAAATTTCGTTTTTCCATTTGGGAAAAATCACATTTTGGAAATTGTTTCTCCTCAATAACAGTTGAGAACGGCCAAGTCCCAGCCCCCACGTGGATTTCACCAGGGTTTTGCTTATGAACAGCCTCCTCCCTTGCCAATGAGAAATTGCATCTAAACTATGGGCTTTGCTACCCACAAAGCTGATTTTCAGAAAGTCCACCAACCCACTTACAGGTCAGAGATTAATAAGAATATATTAACTCCAATTGTCATGCTTCCCAGGCTTTTCCAGTTACCCATCTCGTGGAAAACCAGCACCATTCCCACCAGGCTTGTCAAATGTCTACCTGGTCAATCAGTTACAAAATATGAAAAGCACCTCATTGCATCCCAGGCTGGGAACCAGGAAATGGACATCTGGACATTGTGATACAGAAATGTAATGTTTTTTACACTATTGTCAATGCTGGGGATTAAACTCATGGCCTTGTGCATGCCAGGCAACCACTCTACCAACTGAGCTACATGCATCCCAAGCCAGTTTTTGTTATGAGCTGCCATTCATCCAGAATTTTCTCTGAGTTAGACAGCCTTCTGAGGCATTGACACAGCCATCTAATCTGGGGTCCACCCTCAAAACACCTACCTGTATAAATTCAGGAGTTCTTGATCTTGAATGGGGAAAAATACGTTCTCACCTTCATTAACACCTAATTGAAAGTTAGTATTTGATTCCATTATGAATATAGTGAATGAGCCATGATATTATTTTGCCCCTAAGAGAAAGCCTAGGAATTTTCTTTCTTTTTTTTTCCATTTATTTATTTTGCGTGTATGTGTGTGAGTGGACATGCACACATGTGGAAATCAGAGAAGAACTTGTAGAATGGATTCTCTCCCACCACATGGGTCTGTGGGATTGAAACTCAGGATATCAGACTTGGACATAGGCACCCTTACCCACTAAGCCATCTTCCTGGCTCTAATCCAGTGTGGTTTTATGACCTGTGGCAACTGTTACAGAAATCTGAGACGGCGTTTCTAGTCATCACTGGTTTTTGCTTGCTTGCTTGCTTGCTTGCTTGCTTGCTTGCTTGCTTGCGTTCCTGGGGATTGAACCTGGCTTGTTCTACATTGGAGGCCAAGTGCTCTGCCCCTGAGCTACAGCTCCAGTTCTTTATCACTACTCTGGAGGTAAGGCAGTGACCAGTTACCTACGGCTTTCAGTCCATCACCAGGAAGTGTAGCCATGCTTTCTCATCAGGACCGCCAGTCACAAATAACCACACAGAGACTTATTATTAATTATGAAAGCTCAGCCTTAGCTTAGGCTTGTTCTCAACAAGCTCTTATAACTTAAAATTAACCCATTTATAGTCATCTCCATTCTGCGACATGGCGTTACCTCATCTCCAAACTGCTCATCCTGCTTCCGCTGAGTCTGCCTGGTGACTCCTGTCTTCCTTTTTCCCAGAGTTCCCTCTCTGCCTGGAAGTCCTGCCTTTATTCTCTAACTAGCGACTGGCCATTTAACTTCTTATTACACCAATCACAGCAACACATCTTCATACTGTGTACAGACATCCCACAACAAAGGAGTGCTGTTATTACAACATGGTGGATTTAATACTTTAATAATTGGGTCTTGTTAACATTGGGTATTTTGGGCAGAGGTACATTTATATCAATTATTTCATTGTAAGTGGTAAAATACACACATCAGGGACAGGGAGGTGGCTGGTGCTCCTGTCTCAGACTCCCTGAGAGCTGGGATCACAGGCATATAGTCAGTTGTCATCTTCACGTTTTATTGTATTTATGCAGTTTTCCTTCTCTTTCTTTCTTCTTTCTTTTTTTTTTTTTTTTTTTTTTTTTTTTTTTTTTT